CTTTCCCCAGAGGAGCGGGACAGGAGGATCAGTGAGTTCCTTTTCCCTTTTCCCGATGGAATTTCAACCCCTGGATCCAATTTTTCATTAATTTTWGGAAGTTTTGGGGTTTTCAGCCCCTTTTTCCCCATTCCCCCATTTTTGGGGATGGATCCAGACCCAAAAAATCTCCAAATAATTGAAATTTCCTTTTTTTTTTTATTTCAGGCAAGCTGACCTCAGACCTGGGTAAGGAATTTAATGGATTAAAATAAAGAATTTGGCTTTAAAATTATCAGTTTATCTTTAAATCGAACATTTTGGGCCTTCAAATGGAAATTTTTCCCTCAGAATTTGTGATTAAATGGCAATTGGCCTTAAATATGCAAATTTTGGTTGTAAAAATTGAATTTTTACCATTTTGTGCATTTTTTGGTGGTTTCCAGGCAATTCTTTTCCTTGATAAACCAAATTTTTAGTATTTTGTGGAGGGGAAYGTTTCTGTGGAATAAAAATTCCCTCAAATTGGAGGTTTTGGGGTGGGAGGAATCACTTTGGGAKTTTTTTTTATTTATTAATTCCTGGATTTTCAGGTGAATTTGTGATTTTTAAATGATTATTTCCTGTTTTTTAGGTGACTCCAATGCCAAACTCAGTAAGTCCAACCCCCCCTGGATGATTTTGATGGAAAATCCTCATTTTAAAGGAATTTTGGGGGAAATCTCCCCATTCCTGATCTGCAAACTGACCCAGAAAGGAAGGAATTATTTCATAATTCTCATTTTCCTGCTTTTTTCTCTTCTTCCCAGAGGAACGTGACAGGAAAATCAGTGAGTGCCTTTTTCCCTGATGCTTTTGGGGTGAAACCCCCTCATTTTGGGGCATCCTGGGGAAAAAAAAATGGGAAATAACTCAATTTTCCCCCAAATTTYCCCCAAATTTATGCATTTYCCACCGAGAAAAACCCCAAATAACCACAAATCCCATTTTTTTTCCTCTGCAGCCAAACTCTCTGCTGAAATCCGTGAGTGCTGCTCCTCGTGTGATGATTTTGGGCTCAAACTCCTCATTTTTGGTCGATTCTCATGGATTAATCCCCGTTTTTTCCATCCCACAGGAAGGTTCACGGCTCTGCTGGGTATGGACAGATTTTATTCCCATTTTTGGGGTGGTTTATGGATTTTTGGAGATTTTTGGGTTTATCTTTGGGATGGGAGAGGTAAAAAACCACCCCAAAATTCTGATTTTTGGTGCTTTTTCCTCCCTCTCCGCAGCCGAGCGCGACTCCGGGCTCCGTAA